CTATATGACCTGCAATTGCTACAGCGTAGCCTCCATTTACTGAATTAAAAAACGAAATTTATGTGATTATTCTCTCTCTCTCTCTCTCTCTCTCTCTCTCTCTCTCTCTCTCTCTCTCTTTTTTTTTAAAGAAGAAAAGCTATATGACCTGCAATTGCTACAGTGTGGCCTCCATTTACTGAATTAAAAAACACAACTTTTATGCGGTTATTCTCTCTCTCTCTCTCTCTCTCTCTCTCTCTCTCTCTCTCTCTCTCTCTCTCTCTCTCTCTCTCTCTCTCTCTCCCCTTTGAATATGTTGATAAATATTCGGATATGGGTTGGTGATCGTTGGCAGGGCTGTGCTTTTGCATGGGGAATCAAGGAAACTTACTCATCATGGGGCCCTGCGAATCGAAACCAGGATACCTGGCGCTGATGACATTTACCTGCGAGCAAGCACAAGCTCTTCAAAACAACCCGGAGCGCAGCTGGCCGATGCGATGGCCGACTTGTCTACTAAGCGGGCCGCCAGTGCTGAGAATTCCCTGCCGGGTCGCGGTTCCAGGAGTGCTGACAATTCCACCACTCCAGTCAACGGTACACCAGTGGACGGTACGAAAAAGAGGCAGAAGGCGGCGGGAGCGGAGGAAGCCAGTGTGACGCCGACACGTCCCTCGGCTGGCGAGGATGCCGGCGGAAAGGCCGGCGACGATGGCCTTCCACTGATCACAGATGGCCATACACGGGGGGAAGAAGGGCAAAACCCTGCAGCAGCGGTTTCCTCTTCGAGAAAAGAGGATAGAAAGCCTGATGACTTGTCTCTAGTGAATGTGAAGCGGCGGAAAATAGATGGAGGGTGGCAAGACAACGATACAGGTCTCTCCGAGGATGCAATTAGTTTGCTGCTTTCGCCTGCCGTCAAAGGTAATGTAAACAACCCCCGAGGATGCAAAGAGCAGTGAGTATGGTGGTCATGAAGGAGCACCAGTTGGCTCGCTTATAACCATGAGGTCCACATCTTATGGATGGTGTCACATACAGGTCACTCTCCAAATCTTCCCCCACCCTGCTTCTCTCTCTCTTTCTGTGTCTCTCTCTCCCTCCATTCTCTCTGTGTCTGTGTCTGTGTCTGTGTCTGTGTCTGTCTGTGTGTGTGTGTGTCTCTCTCTCCCTCCATTCTGTGTGTGTGTGTGTGTGTGTGTGTGTGTGTGTGTGTGTGTGTGTCGCTCTCTCTGACTGTGTACCCTCTGCACCCAGGGATTGCATGTCCATTTTGCGGTCAGGGATGTTATTATGAATGCATGCTCCCTGTCCTTGGGGACATCTGTTAAAATTGGAACGATACAGAGAAGATTAGCATGGCCCTTGCTAAAGGACGACACACGTTGATTGAGAAAAGGTCCAAAACAGACTTAAAAAAAAAATGAATGCATGCTCCTGTGTGATACCTGTTGTTTGTTCAGGACTGCAACGGACGTGAATTTTTTTTGAGGGGGCGGTGTTTTGTGGGGGTCGTCGATGTCCAGCCACTGGGGCAAGGGTTGTGCTGAGAATGCTCAGCTAGGTACAGGCATTCCAGGTCATGACCCCCGTCTGTTCTCAAGGACAAATTGCCTTCCGAGTCTTCATTTATCCTTATCTATTGCTATCATCTCTACCATCTTCACCTGAATAGAACGCCCAGTCATTACATCTGCATCTGGCCTGAAAATTGCCCCAAATGCAGCCTAAATGACCGACCGTTCTATTCGAGTGAAGACAGTGACCACACTAGTTGTTATCCCTGTCTTCCTTCACTCCACCTTCCCCACCTCTCTCTCTCTCTCTCTCTCTCTCTCTCTCTCTCTCTCTCTCTCTCTCTCTCTCTCTCTCTCTCTCTCTCTCTCTCTCTCTCTCTNCTCTCTCTCTCTCTCTCTCTCTCTCTCTCTCTCTCTCTCTCTCTCTCTCTCTCTCTCTCTCTCTCTCTCTCTCTCTCTCTCTCTCTCTCTTAGAGTGACTGAATGCTAGCGTGCAATTGCCATGAGGGAAAGGGGTCATAGAGCCCCAATGCCTCTATCCTTGTTTTTGCATGGGTATAGCTAGGTCAGGCGGACTTAACTTGTTTTCTAAACCTGATTGCTGTGCCTGAGCAGGTGATGTACGTTTGGCAGATGGCCCACCGAGGGAATGCACTAGTGGTGTCACTCCGCTCGGCAGTGCAGTAAGTCGTCAGACGAGATCCGACGAAGGCGATGAGGATGAGCCGACAACAGCTTCCCAAGCTGATGGTGTGAAGAACAAGGACAATGGCAACGATGATAAGTCAAGCATGCCAGCGGCTGAGGCTGCACAAGTGCAGCAACACACTCCATTGCAGGTGGTGCCCGCCAGAGGAGTCGGAGCCGATCAAAACATCAGTGAAGCAAATGCTCAACTTTGTGCAGCAGTTATGCAGACCGGAGAGGGAGAGAGCACGCAGCATATCTCTTCCTCTCAAAGGCTTGCGGAAGAAGCTTGTCAACGACACAGCAGTGGTAATGTTCGATTCGCTCCTTCGCAGCAAGGGATTGGCAAACCTGCCGGAAGCTTTGGGAAGATTCAATACGCTCCATCCCAGCGGGGACACCTTTTCACCCCGCCTATTGATGTGCCGAGTACCCGGAAGCCGCCGCAGTATGCTCCCTCGCAAAGCAGCATTGGGGGGGTGGCAACTCAAAGCGGCAGTGGGGGTGGTGTGCGGTACGCCCCGTCGCAAAGGTGCAAGGACATTGCCAGGGAGATCGTCCACAACAATTCTTCTTCGCAACGATGCGAAACAGACATTTGTAATGGAAGCGGCGATGGTGCAAACATTCCACAGGGGGTTGTTGAGAGCAGCAGCAGAAAAGAGGCTCTTCCAAGCGGTGATGACAATGCGCAGTGCACCCCTTCACAAAGGAGTTCCAATTCAGAAAGGACTCTTCAAAGCGACGGGAATGAGCAGACCATTCCTTCGGAAAGGTCGTTGGATCTTGACAAGCAAATCCCAAGCATCGGCATTGGGGAGGTGGTTGAGAAAGCTTGTGCTGCTGGGCGTACGAAGGACGGTGATGGTAGCCCGATAAGAGGTGACAACAACATGAATGGTAGCATTGATTGTACTCATGACGTAGATGGAATGGCAGCTATGGGGAGAGATCTTGAGAGGAATGGTGCAGGTGGAGATGGAGATGGAGATGGAGGTGGAGGTAGTGGTGGTATTCAGTATGTGGTGGCAGATTTTATGCTTCTAGTAGATGAAGCAGCGGCAGAGCCGAAATAGAAGAACGCAGTCTGATTGTAACTTACTCAAGACGAGAGTCCAAATGAGGAGTTTGGAGGTAAGGAGGATGTGCAAGAATGTGGGCCCCCTTCTTTGAGTTTGTTTGTGTTATTTACAACAGTGATTTTTTTTTGGCAGTTGTATACTGACAGCACATTGCAGACAACCCCTCATCTTTTCCGTCGTGTGTGAAGAGCACTGGAGAGTCAGTGGAGACTCATTGGGGTCCTACCGTCCTACCCACTTTTTTTTTCTTTTTCTTTTTTCTCCCTTTCCCCTGAACCTTCCCCTATTCTCACTTCCTCATTCATCCCCTTCTCTACATTTTCTTTTTCTTTTTATTAGTTTTTAAGTTTTCATCCTTTCCCCGACGGCACTCGTCAGGCTTGTAGACACGATTGTGAGAAATGTCTCTCTCTAGTTGGAGGGCTAACATCTTGTGTTTCCGAATGTTTATCGAAGAGACTTTTTACTATTTTTAGTTCTTTTCTGTAAACTGGTTCTCTGTCTGTTGGAGGTCTGACATGATTGATGCACATCTGTCAGTCCATGGGATTTCTCAAGATGTGTGCGTGTCAGTCGATGGGACTCCGAATCTTTATGATATGCATGTGCACTTGTTGCAGATGCACGGGTGTGTTCAGTGTGTGCGAGGTACACGGACATGTCCGGTAGGTGTGCATGGACATATTCAATGTGCGGATGGACTACATGTCGCGAGTTACACGGACATCTCCGGTACGTGTGCATGGACATATTCAATGTGCAGATGGACTACACGTCTTCCCCCAAATAGAATGTACAGACATTATTGCTGTATTTGGGGCCAACTCCAGTCTTGGTACACAATAACGGCCCTGTGTTCTATTCATGTAAAGACCGTGTACTCCACGTTGTCCAATTGGCTGATGGACATGTCCCTTTAGCTCACGGCCATTTGGGTGTGCTCATGGACATGTGTGATGGCCTCACGGACATGTCTGGTGGGATCATGGACATATCCGACGCACTCACAGACATGTTCGGTGGGCTCACGGACATGTTCGGTGTCTAGACCGGACTGTAACCGTGCAACCTTCAAAGGGGATCTGGGCCTAGAGTTCCCTTTGAGCCGATCGAACCGCTCCGGCAAGTGAATCACGAGAAAGGTTCTGCTCGAACATGTCTAGACCAGACTGTAACCTTGCAACCTTCAAAGGGGATCTGGTCCTAGAGTCCCTTTGAGCTGATCGAACCACTCCGGCAAGTGAATCACGAGAAAGGTTCTGCTCTCCCTCCTAAATCACTACGTAGTTCTCGCTGACCTTGCGCTTGCGAGGAGCTTGCAGCACAATCTTTGACAAAAAAGGCCTTGAAAGGGGCCTCCCTTTAAGGCCCAATTCTGTAGCCCCCCTCCGTTCTTGAGGGATGTTGTACTTGCCGTAGTTCTATCCGGCATAGGTACCGGGAATAGGGTTGTTTACCCACTGGAAGGAATGGAATACTCTTGGTTCCGTTCCAGACCAGGCGCTACACCCGGCAGATACGTCACGATCGGATAGAACAGTGGGTTGAAACGAGGAGCCTGATCACGCTGCAGGTCGAAACCTTGAGGTTGATCCATTTCGTTGTCATTCCATAGAGCTCTGTCTAAAGATTGACGTGATTGCCTTGAACGGCCCGGAGCTGATGAACTTAGTACAAGTTCCTTCCTCCGTTTGCTCTACTCGGTGAGCTTTGAGGATGCGAGTTTGATGCACCTGCCCCCTGAGCAAAGTCGTTATTAACTTATTGTCGTAAAAGTTCATGCCTCCTACATTCACAACCTGAGGCTGATTACCGTAATTCCTCCTTCGATTACCTTGATTCTCAGGCCTACTTCGTGTGCACTCCTCTCTTCGTGAAAGAAGCGACAGCACCTTCTGCACCAAGGGGTAGAAGAACAGACCAACCGCAGCACCGCGTGCACTCCTCCTCGTTGTCGGTTCTCACCCAGATGCGATCCACCATCTTTTCTCTGAACCGAGGATCCACGTCGTATTTGAGGTTCATGAGCTCAGGCTTGGAGTGGTCCCGGATTGGTGCATAGTTCTTGGTGATAGTGCGGATGATCCGTCTGATAGCCGGTTTTGTATAGACAATGGCGTCCAGTGGAACCTGGAGGGCCATAACTGAAAAGGTCTTCTCCAGTCCAATCCTCCTAGACTTGCGCCACTCCAAGCGTGCCATCCACAGACAAAAGCTCAGGGTGTATGAAACGCCAACAAGTAAAATCTCGTCCTCCCTCCGATGCACCAGCCACATACGTAGAGATCACAGTTTCTTTGGCAATGTATGCAAGTACATTCAGACCCTGGAAACTTTTAGCTTCGGTTGAAATGAAAAACTACCGGTAGATCGTAAGATCAGCTGTTGGCAGGTGAGACCAGCTGTTGGCAGGTGAGACCCTCGAAACTTTTGGCTACCTACGAACGCTCGTAAGATCAGCTGTTGGCAGGTGAGACCAGGACAGCTGACGAAGTGAGTTTAGGTTGACGACATCACCTATAGATGCCGTCATGAGGGATGATACATAAGCACTGAGGGTTGGTGAAGATACACAACTGAGTCCAGTTTTGGAAGCCCGTATGGTATGATTTGGAGTAAACAATTAATCTTGTCTATATATTTGTGTTTTCTTGGTTTTATTGTACTAACATCACCCACGAGCCCTATAATGGAGAATATGATAGAGGCACCCTCGTCCTTGTCCCCACCCGATGAGGCAGAAAGAATCCGGATCCATGAAATCTTGATGAATTGTTTTAACAATGGAATCCTACCATCTAAGCTAGCTCCCAGTACTGTAACGGAAGGAGAGGACTGTGTCAAAGTGGTAGTAAACCATGATATTGCACGCTTCCAGGCGGATTGGTTGAAGGAACATGCGGTTTCGGTATTTTTTTACCACGAAACCTCCTCCCTTCCGCCGGGGGTCAAGAGTCGTTTGATCACATATGTGGCCTCGGCCAAGCAGATTGCCAGTTGGATGCTCATGAAGAAAGAGAGTAAAGTTACGTTAGATAATGAAACCCATACAGTGTACTTCAGGCCGTGGATGTCGGAACACCAACTTTTGATATGGAGGGATTTAATCAACCGTGATTTTTTCTGGATCCGGTGTTTGGACGTTCCAGTGTCCGCCATGGGCCTATTAAAAGGCGCTGTAGAGGATGCTTTTGGTTCAATAATTAGAGATTATGCACCGTTCAAGTTTCCAGTGACCCCGGATTTGAGAGACCTCCGCTTTGACCTGGCTCTTCCGGCAAAAGCGCGATATAAACAGCGACTCATCGTGGACCTGTGGGAATTCGGATCCATGGATATTCAAGTGGCCTGCAGCGACACACCATGGTGTGCCGCATGCAGACGTTATTTCCATAAGTCTGATGATAACTGTCCGAAGAAGAAAAAAGAGCCTAGGAAAGATCAGAAAGCGGATGAGGAGAAGTCAGACAAGGGAAAAGAGGACGGAGGAGGGGATGGGGAGAAGGGTTTGGAGAAGGAAAAGGGCAAAGAGGGGGAAGATAAGGGAAGAGAGAAAGAGAAGGATGACGGAGGGAAAGGTCAGAAAGGAGACGGGAAGGAGGAGAAGGAACAAGAGAAGGCTGCAGCCGAAAAGACAGATGAGAAGACTCCAGGGCCAGGAGCTGAGAATGGTCAGGGGGAGAATGGAGGTGGGAGAGAGAAGGGGAAAGAGAGGGCGATCAAAGAAAGGGGAAAGGCGGATCAAAAATGGGAAAGGGTGAATGAGAAGAGCAAGGCAAAGGGAACAAGAGGGAAGAAGGGTAAAATGGGGAAAAGGTCAAAAGGGAAGGAAAGCAACCTTACCTCTTCCCCGGGACCTTCTTCCCCCCCCCTGAAATCTCCCTCCCC